CTCTAGATCCCTGTAAAGGAACCTCTAAAACCCCTATATAAGCCCCAAATCCTAAACCCTAAACCCTAAACCCTAAAACCCTAACCCTAAACCCTAAACCCTAAACCCTAAACCCCAAAACCCTAAACCCCTTATAGATCCCTTTAAAGGAACCCTTATAGATCCCTTTAAGGCCCTTATGGAACCCTTATAGACTTATAGATCCCTATAAAGGAACCCTAAACCCCTTATAGATCCCCTTATGAAACCCTTATAGATCCCTTTAAGGCCCTTATGGAACCCTTATAGATCCCTTTAAAGGAACCCTAAACACCACCACTTCTTCCAAGGTCTTCCCACCCGACTTTGACTTCATGATCGAAGGCATCGTGGCTGCCGAGCCGGCTGCCTACCTGATCAGGTGCGTGATTGTGTGAAAAGTTTGGGTTTAGGGTTTAGGGTTTGAAAGTTGGAAAGTTTGGGTTTGGAATCTACCTCATCAGGTGCGTGATTGTGTGGAGAGCCTGAATCCCCCAGTTTGCCGGATTTCGCCTTGGGTTTAGGGTTTAGGGTTTAGGGTTTAGGGGTTTGGGTTTGGAATCTACCGTTCAGGGCCCAGGATTTGGGTTAGGGGTGCAGAGTTTAGGGTTCAGGGTTTAGGGTGCAGGTTGGTACGTATTCAGCAGGAGCCTAATTTACTTCAAGTTGCAGAGGACAGGCGACCCAAATGTACAGAACAAGTAGCGGGACGCTAATTTAACAGGTGCATACGGCTAGTGAATGTGTGCGTGTATACATATACAGTCACATACAGGTATATGCCGGCACACATACACACATTCATATCTACTTACCTGCCTACCTACCTACCTACCTACCTACCTGCCTGCCTGCCTGCCTGCCTGCCTGCCTGCCTGCCTGCCTGCCTGCCTGCCTGCCTGCCTGCCTATCTACCAACCTACCAACCTACCTACCTACCTACCTACCTACCTACCTACCTACCTACCTACCTACCTACCTACCTACCTACCTACCTACCTACCTACCTACCTACCTACCTACCTTGAAAACGCCGTGG